GACACGCCACCTTACAGATGATAGTGGCCACTGACACATTGGACACCCTCAAGTGATAGTGGCCACTGACTAACAGGACACGCCTTAAAGGTGACAGTTGCCACTGACTCATATGGCACGCCTTACAGGTGACAGTTGCCACTGACTCATAGGACACCCTGAAGTGATAGCTGCCACTGACTCATAGGTCACCCTCAAGTGATAGTTGCCACTGACTCATAGGACACGCCACCTTACAGATGATAGTGGCCACTGACTCATAGGACACCCTCAAGTGATAGTGGCCACTGACTCACAGGACACCCTCAAGTGATAGCGGCCACTGACTCACGGGACACCCTCAGGTAATAGTTGCCACTGACTCATATGACACTCCACCTTACAGGTGATAGTGGCCACTGACTCACAGGAAACCCCTCAAGTGATAGTTGCCACTGACTCACGGGACACCCTCAAGTGATAGTGGCCACTGACTCACAGGACACGCCTTACAGGTGACAGTTGCCACTGACTTTTAGGACACCCTCAAGTGATAGTAGCCACTGACTCATGGGACACGCTTTACAGGTGATAGTGGCCACTGACTCATAGGACACCCTCAAGAGATAGTAGCCACTGACTCATAGGACACGCCTTACAGGTGATAGTGGCCACTGACTCATTGGACACCCTCAAGTGATAGTAGCCACTGACTCATAGGACACGCCTTACAGGTGACAGTTGCCACTGACTTTTAGGGCACGCCTTACAGGTGATAGTGGCCACTGACTCATAGGACACCCTCAAGTGATAGTGGCCACTGACTCATATGACACGCCACCTTACAGATGATAGTTGCCACTGACTCACAGGACACCCTCAAGTGATAGTGGCCACTGACTCACAGGACACGACACCTTACAGATGATAGTGGCCACTGACTCATAGGACACGCCACCTTACAGATGATAGTGGCCACTGACACATAGGACACCCTCAAGTGATAGTGGCCACTGACTCACAGGACACGCCTTAAAGGTGACAGTTGCCACTGACTCATATGGCATGCCTTACAGGTGACAGTTGCCACTGACTCATAGGACACCCTCAAGTGATAGCTGCCACTGACTCATAGGTCACCCTCAAGTGATAGCTGCCACTGACTCATAGGTCACCCTCAAGTGATAGTGGCCACTGACTCATAGGGCACGCCTTACAGGTGATAGTGGCCACTGACTCACGGGACACCCTCAAGTAATAGTGGCCACTGACTCATAGGACACACCACCTTACAGATGATAGTGGCCACTGACTCATAGGACACCCCTCAAGTAATAGTGGCCACTGACTCACAGGACACGCCACCTTACAGATGATAGTGGCCACTGACTCATAGGACACGCCACCTTACAGATGATAGTGGCCACTGACTCATAGGACACCCTCAAGTGATAGTGGCCACTGACTCACTGGACACCCTCAAGTGATAGTTGCCACTGACTCATATGACACGCCACCTTACAGGTGATAGTGGCCACTGACTCATAGGACACCCTCAAGTGATAGTGGCCACTGACTCATAGGACACCCTCAAGTGATAGTGGCCACTGACTCACAGGACACGCCACCTTACAGATGATAGTGGCCACTGACTCATAGGGCACGCCTTACAGGTGATAGTGGCCACTGACTCATAGGACACCCCTCAAGTGATAGTTGCCACTGACTCATAGGACACGCCTTACAGGTGATAGTGGCCACTGACTCATAGGACACGCCACCTTACAGATGATAGTGGCCACTGACTCACGGGACACCCTCAAGTAATAGTGGCCACTGACTCATATGACACGCAACCTTACAGATGATAGTGGCCACTGACTCACAGGACACCCTCAAGTGATAGTGGCCACTGACTCACAGGACACGCCACCTTACAGATGATAGTGGCCACTGACTCATAGGACACGCCACCTTACAGATGATAGTGGCCACTGACTCATAGGACACCCTCAAGTGATAGTGGCCACTGACTCACGGGACACCCTCAAGTAATAGTGGCCACTGACTCATAGGACACGCCACCTTACAGATGATAGTGGCCACTGACTCATAGGACACGCCACCAAACAGATGATAGTGGCCACTGACTCATAGGACACCCTCAAGTGATAGTGGCCACTGACTCACAGGACACGCCTTAAAGGTGACAGTTGCCACTGACTCATAGGGCACGCCTTACAGGTGATAGTGGCCACTGACTCATAGGACACCCCTCAAGTGATAGCTGCCACTGACTCATAGGTCACCCTCAAGTGATAGCTGCCACTGACTCATAGGACACGCCTTACAGGTGATAGTGGCCTCTGACTCATAGGGACACCCTCAAGTAATAGTGGCCACTGACTCATAGACACGCCACCTTACAGATGATAGTGGCCACTGACTCATAGGACACGCCACCAAACAGATGATAGTGGCCACTGACTCACGGGACACCCTCAAGTAATAGTGGCCACTGACTCATAGGACACGCCACCTTACAGATGATAGTGGCCACTGACTCATAGGACACGCCACCTAACAGATGATAGTGGCCACTGACTCATAGGACACCCTCAAGTGATAGTGGCCACTGACTCACAGGACACGCCTTAAAGGTGACAGTTGCCACTGACTCATAGGGCACGCCTTACAGGTGATAGTGGCCACTGACTCATAGGACACCCTCAAGTGATAGCTGCCACTGACTCATAGGTCACCCTCAAGTGATAGCTGCAACTGACTCATAGGACACGCCTTACAGGTGATAGTGGCCTCTGACTCACGGGACACCCTCAAGTAATAGTGGCCATTTACTCGTAGGACACACCTTAAAGGTGATAGTGGCCAATGACTCATAGAACACGCCTTACAGGTGATAGTGGCCACTGACTCATAGGACACGTCTTACAGGTGATAGTGGTCACTGACCCATAGGACACATTCGTAGTCTGGATTTACATGACCACATTGTCAGATAAAGTTTTATTTAAAATAAATATAGCATCACAAATATGACTTGTAGACCTTTCAGTTGCTGCCAAGACACTTTACTCCTTCGACCCATGTTAAATGTTTTCTGCTGGTAACGTAGATCACGCCCTTGTTTTTCAAAGAAAAAATACAATAGTAATATTTTATTTATTATGCCTCATAGTGAGGTTGACCAATCAGAGAGCAGAACTACTGACCCCACTAAACCGTCAGTAAAAATCCAAGATGATTGTGACTGAGCTAATTAGAGACCGTGTACCGTCAGTGACAGCCATCTTGGATTTTCCAACACCCACTTCACATATTTCACATAAAAATTCTGCTACAGTAATTCGTTATTCGACACTGTTTTGTGTTTTTATAGCATTAATTCTGATGTGCAAAGACATTCACCTTTTTTTAGATCACGTTCGTGACTTTATTGATGAAGATTATAGAAAACGTGAACTAGTCCTGTCAATAATATCGGTTGTCATGTTTGAAGAGTAGTCTCCCTTTGACCCTTAATGTCAACGGTTGTAAGTTTTCATTTTGACATGACGTGCGATATGGATACCAGATAGTCTGAACTTTTCGGCATAATAAATTCCATATGGTGCCTTAAGTTGCCGCATTCGGTGTCATATTAGGTTTGCAATATTTTCTGCTAACCTGATATGACATCGTATATGGCAACTAAAGACACCATAACTAATAATATCGCGACGATGTGAGTTAACGGTGTGTAGGGAGATGTGTGGATATGTAAGAGCTTAGGGGACGTATACATCACCACCGTGATCAATTGCGTTTTGTGTGTACTGTAAATTACCAATTATACCTTCTTTATTTAACATGTAATCAGTCTGAAATTTTTCGAAAAGTGAACTAGAGAATTTGATAGACACTGAAGAGTTCGAGAAAACAGACACGAGCTGTGATGAGGTACCTATAGAAGGGGATATCACCAATTAAAATATATAGAGATATAAACAGTACGTTTGGGCATGATTGGAACGAGGCAATGGTAGCACAGAAGATTACCTTTGGTTTGGTCGTCCAAATTAACGATGGCGTGTCTGAAATCTGTCCGCCGTTAAGTTATGGCTGACATTTTACAATTCAGCACATCGCGGCCATTATTGGGTTCTGTACAGTCCATCTTCACTGACACACTCCACATGATCAATTGTCCGCATGATGAGTACCCAAAATGCTGATACCGGGTCGGACCTGATCCTACATTTCCAGAGACCTTCCGACCAGTTCACATTCGGATAGATGTCTGACGGTTTGTCACCCAGGAAGAGACCTGGGTCCATTACTTCGAGAGCAAACCGTGGACACATCTGGCCTCACCACAAGCCAAGAAGTGCCAGTGGATGGCGTCAGTTGGCAAGTTGTGGCTTCGGTTTTCTGGGTCTGTAAGGAGGTAATCACGATTGCCTAGTCATCTGCAACGAGGCCAGACTATCAATGGGTACTACTATGACTTAGGGCAACGTCAGATGAGAGAAGCTTCGCCGATGTCCTTCTGCTTTATGGTTGGTTGGTTGGTTGGTTGGTTGGTTGTTTAACGCCGCACTCAGCAATATTCCAGCTATATGACGGCAAACTGACAAGGCGCATGTGTACACGTCAAGAGTGGCAGTGTCTGCAGCTGCATATCGTGGCTTGAATTACTCCCCCTGCCCCGTACTCCCCTGACCTTGCACCCCTGACTTTTATCTCCTCCCTAAACACAAATAGCAACTGCAGGGAAGAGATTGCACCAGTAACGGAAATTTTATCGCCCCGTCTTGGCAGGGGGAGCTTAGATGGAGAGAGGTTTTGCGCGGGGATAATAAAATTTCAACATCTCTGAACCAAGTGTTCAAGTATGTTGAATAATTTGTATTCTGTACGAGGTTCTATGTAGGCCACAAACTTTTCTATTTCTCGTTGCATATATATGGATTCTAAAAGACGCAATTCATAGTCAATGAATGGACTCCTTTACAATAACATGTGTGGTAACAACTTTATTGAACAACGAAGTCCTGTGTTAACAACAAGAAACAAACGTTAGAAACGATGACGTAATGACGTTTATTCCGTGATGTTTCCACCGTCGCTGCCTCACAACATCTTCGACAGGAGTTTGAGCTTCAGCTGAAGTAGAGACTCTGCCAAGGTGCTGTCAGACTCCGAATCATGGGCTTGGTCATCCTGAAATGTTAATGAACAAAATATGAGCATCATGTTGAAACAGTTGGTCCAATAAGAGCACATTAGTGTTACATAAGTGGAAAACTAAAACACGTCGCAGGCCTTGCACATACAAGCAAGAGCCGCGATTTTTAAGACGAGTGCGGCACACATTAGTCAAATCTGTGTGGGACGTGTCGCATCTAGAGACCAAAGTGAACATGTACACTATAATGTACATTAATCATAATTATAATAACATTGAAGTATACATATGGCAAGCCGTTTTCACATTTATTACGGAAATACTGATATCTTCAATTGTTTTAAAGATATCTTGAGCTGAATTGAAGATATTGTGAATTGAAGATATCTTAAATGCAGATAATTGTAGATATCTGCAATAAAATTTAAGATATCACGAAATAATTTAAGGATATGATGAAGCTTATTACTGATATCTTTTAAAGAATTGCTGATATCTCAAATTCGATTAGTGATATCAAAATATGATTTTAAGCTGTCAAAAAGTTATGTTTTGTTATGATATCAGAAATTCAATTCCTGATATCTTGAAACTACATACAGATATCAATTGATTACTGATATCTTCAATTGTTGCCATTATTGAAGACATCCGCTTATTTATCTTCAAATACTTCCGTCTGTTAAGTAGGGGGGGTAATGTTTCTAACCATGGCGGGAAATATTCTTCTCACTACAGAGGCCATGTTTCAAATTGATCACTGCTGTCATAGGCCATCCCCTCAATTCCTTCACGAATTGCTTGGCGTGCTTTTGAGACTAGTTCCTGCACAAGTTGGGCATGGTTTGCCGCCATTTTGGAACCGGAAGAATTTACGGACATTTAGCCAGACCGGAAGTATTTGAAGATATTTGTAAATCATTTCCAACACCTTTGGGGACCGGAATAATTCTTTTGCCGTTCCTTCATGTAACTTAAATTATATTACAGATATCAACAATTGATATAAAGATAACTTCAAAATTATTAATGATATCTTTCATTTGATTTTCGATATCAGTAACGGTCAGAATTAATGAAATCTTGAATTGATTTAAAGATATATCAAACTGACTTAAATATATCTAAAACGAATAATGATATATGTAATGCATTTGGGGATGTGTATAAGTTATTTCAAGATATCTTGAATTGAAGTTAAGATATCTTGAATTTACTTCTATTATGATTACGTACAGTAGGATTGTAATGGTTTAATGATATCTTAAGTACATTTAGAGATATCACGAAATATTTGGTTGCTATCACTGTAACATTTTAAGATATCAGCAACTGTATTTTGGAGATCAGAAATGATATCAAAATATCTTTAATTATTTTTTGATATCTTAAAAAAAATTATTGATATATTTAAATTGAATACCAATATCTGTAAAACAATTGAAGGTATCAGTAATTCCGTAATAAATGTGAAAACGGCTTGCCATATAAGCACATAAAATCTGCTTGGTGGTAAATAAGAAATAAAAGTCATGCGTAAAAGGTTTGCGTGAAAAGGTACGAGGAAGCAATCGACCCTGTATCTATGACGTGACCAAAGTGAAGAGTGCGATGTTGAGTTCAGGCATGCGAGAAAACCAACTAAATGGACATTACATGTCCTTAGAGTTGAGCCCTCGTCATCCTCCGAGCCCCTGGGAGTTTACACCTAGGAGTCCAGGGATCATCTGTGAGCAACGTTTCAGACGCGTCGGTGAGCACAGTGCCATTGACAGCTTTCGGGCGAAGGAGATGGTGATCGAATACAATAAGCACTCTGTCGATGGTTCAATTAGGCTAAACATCCGGTTTCAAACATGCTTGTATTCGGTACTTAAGGCCGCACTCAGCAATATTTCAGCTATAATTGATTCTGAACCAGACAATCCAGTGATCGATATTGTAAGCAACGACCACGCCTTCGGGGTACGATGACACGCAATCAAGTCAGCGAGTCTGACCACCCGATCCACTTGTCACCTCTAACGACTAGCATAGGTTGCCCGCGTAGCCTCTGATAGTCCAAGCATGAAATGCATACGACCGTTTTCGACATGTGATGATTATTTGTTACCAAAAGACACGAGGGAAAGATTCTTTTTATCACCCAATATAAATATTATAGCAACTACATGCCAGACCACTCGTATAAGGTAATAGCTTGAACAGCTCATTAAAGAACGACACTTTACGTTTCTGAACGGTTGAGATTTTGTTATATCGTACTAGATGTGATGTGAGCCCTGCACTGCCAATCAGTGTCATGGAGAGTGGCGTAGGTCAACAAACTCAGTCTGGATATGGTGGGTCAAGCTATATCTCCACGAGTGGTCACTCCTAGGCAACTACAGTTGAAACATCCACCCTACACTACGGAGAAAATGATAAGTAGGACATGCCAACTCTAAGCTAACACCGACCTGAGAAATTCTTCTATTGACAAAAACATTATATGTAAACCCTGTCTCAAATCCATATTGTGCGATCCATTTCCGCCTTGATTTATTCATTTAAATAGCCCCTGAATATAATCTATTTGGAGCGTCGTCAAAATAGAGCCTTTTATGGAATAATGTTTTTAGATACTATCAGCTTTACCGCAGACTATCCACTGGTACACACGGTCGATGCAGGAGATCACTCTGGACGAGGGTGTTAGTTCTGAAACTGTGCTTATTTGTCCATGAATTCAGTGACACCCCACCCCCTACCCCAATGCAGACATTATCATAAAACATAGTTCAGATGAACACACGTCTTATCGCGTCTCGAGTACATAGTCACTTCCCTTGCAGTAGTCGCCCGGATTGTCGGGACTCTGGACTAAATAGGTCCATAAATAAATCAATAACGATTGCCTACGTGACAAAGGTCGGTGTTGAGCTGTGTACTAGCGTGTCCTAATTTCTTTGATATACTTATGTTTAAGACTGTACCTGGAAAGATTCGTGCCAAGAGATGTACATCCCTAACAGGAATCAGGGACGGACCATGTGATATTCGGGCTGTTTGTTAGAGACAGGATATTTTGTCGGTCACGACTTTCAAACAAATTTTGTTTTCGACGAAAGAAGGAGTCGAACACTTGAATTTTATTTCACAACACATATTTGTCCATATGTATTTTTATTCTTCAGTCTTATTTTTCCAGTTTCATGGGGGTTTTTTTTCAATAAAATGGCCAGTCCCTAATTTTCCGATGAGTGTGTTTCAGGCTACCTGCAAGCACGTGCGTCTCTCACATGAGCATATCTGCTGTGCGTTAGGACGTGCACGTGCATAAAGAAAACATACTCAAGCAACTAAACCGACATCTTTACTCATTGTTCCTTTTAAATACAGCCTAAAAGACAGACCCCGCATAATTACAACCAACTGTCAATCTTCTCCCATAATGACAACCAACTGTCAATCTCCTCTCACAATGACATCCGATTGTCAAACTCTCCCACAATGACAACCAACTGACAATCTCCTCCCACAGTGACAACCGATTGTCAATCTCCTCCCACAATGACAACCGATTGTCAATCTCCTCCCACAATGACAACCGATTGTCAATCTCCTTCCACAGTGACAACCGATTGTCAGTCACCTCTCACAATGACAACCGATTGTCAATCACCTCCCACAATGACAACCGATTGTCAATCTCCTCCCACAGTGACAACCGATTGTCAATCTCCTCCCACAGTGACAACCGTACAACAACCACAACCCATCAAGGGCGAAATACAAACATTCACCGCTAAGTAATTAGTTGGTTCCATCTTCTTAATGATTCTGAAAAAAGCATAATTCCAATGACAATCCATCAATGATCCCACACCCACAACATATGGGGTCGTGAAAGGAGGATACAGCATCTAAAGTTCGCGAGGTCAGGAGACAGCGTCCCCAAATCTTATTCGTTTGTTTGTTGTTTAACGTCGGACTCAGCAATATTCCAGCTATATGACGGCGGTCTGTAAATACTCGTGTCTGGACCAGGCAATCCAATGATTGACATTATGAGCATCGATCTACACAATTGGGATACGATGACATGCATTAACCAAGTCAGCGAGTCTGATGAACCCGATCCGGTTAGTCGCCTCCAACGAGAAGCATGAGTTCCTGAATACCACATCTAATCCAGACCTTCACCGGGTCCGTCTCTCGACACATCACAATATGATGGGGGCGGTCGGGTAGCCTAGTGGTTACAGCGTTCCACCCTACATGGGTACAATGTGTGAAGCCAATTTCTGGTGTTTCCCGCCGTGGTGATATTGCTGGAATATTGCTAAAAGCGGCGTAAAACCATGCTCACTCACAAGATAATGCCTCCTGTACCCCCCCCCCCCCCCCCCCCCCCCCCCAAAAAAAAAGGGTCCTGAAAGAAATCGCGCGATCATGAGAGAGTGTCATCCCCATGCCCATAGCATGGGCTAATGAGAAAGCACCTCTATATCTTCTACCTAAAATGGAGAGGTCATGAGAGAGGGTCTCCCTACCCCAAATCGTGCTGACGTGAGAAAGTGCCACCTACACCCATATGTAAATCTGTCCAAAAAATAAATCTTAAATATGAAAAAAACAGTATGCACATTCCATAGGTTTTGCTACAGAGATTAGTGTTCTAGGTACAGGGTAGGAATGTTATCGACTCATGCTGTGTTGCTGTGCTGGACACTTACGCTCATCCTCTCGTCCATTCTCTGGTGACGTTAACATGACGTTAATACATGACGATAATACACAACGTTAATACTATGTACACACATAAACCCAAATGAAAGAATAATGGCGTGATTTCTTATCTGTCGTCTTCTTTCCCGACAGACACATGCAAACACTAAACAACAGATATCCCTGTATTTGTAATAACGTTTCCTATGACAGATAACGTCATGTTGTTAAAGTGTATCATTAAGTATTGCTGTAATGGAAGTCATGTTTTAGAATAATCAACAGCTATCCATTTTGAACCCAACATCACTTCTGAAATGATAGGGTCTCGGTGGTCCAGTCGTTTCAGGCGCATCTATTCTCTGTGCGGAGTTGCGTCCCTTGGGCACGCTAGAAAACTAAGATTGCGGATTCGAATCCCGGTTCGCCCCAATTATGTTTCTAGGTTTCTCAGCAACACACCTGCCCTCGTGGGGTTCACCAATGTGGTCAACGTCTGAGACAAACATCACTGTGGATTTCTCTCCCAGATTAAGCTGATATGCCGTGATATAACTGGAATACTGTTCAAAGCGGTATCAAATCATACTCACTCGCTCGCTCTAAAAGTATGCACATCACATTAACATTATAATGACACGAAATGCGAGGTAAGACTTTATATGCAGCCAGGCGGAGCTCTTTTGAGTTTATCAGTATTTTACCCAGTTTATCACAAAGTCGAATAGGGGCGATGGGTTAGCCTAGTGGTTAACGTGTTCGCTCGTCACGCCGAAGACCCGGGTTCGATTCCCCACATGGGTATAATGAGAGAAGCCCATGTCTGGTGTCCCCCGCCGTGATATTGCTGTAATAGTTATTAAAGCGGCGTAAAACCACACTCACTTACTCACAAAGTCGGATAAGACGACATATGAGCCCCCTGCATCCCTCCACCCTATGTCGCTGTCTATGATACAGAACTAACAGTTTAACGATGATTCAGCGACTACTGAGTCGAGATAAGTGTAATACAAAACACGTCTCTCACTTCACTCAAACCTTCTAATGTATTTTAACGTACCTTTTTCTCATTTTTCACCTGATTATAATCAGGGTTGTATTTCCGATGTCCATTGCGCATGTGCGCTGGCTGGGCTTTCGTACCATACATGGTCAGAGAAATGTCAGTCACTGAGCCGGAGTTGTCGTTCCCTGACTGTAACCATAGAAACGCATAGAAATTACATCAAGCATCTATAAAGACAAATAAGACACGACTAGCCCGGCCCTGTGAAGAGCTTGATCGGTACCGGTAATTAGCGTGTCCAAAACGTTGAAGCCGGTTAATAGTTGGTTAAATGGTTCCATTAACAGGGTACAGTATTTGAGATTTTATGAAAGTTTGCCCTTAGATAACTGAACACATCCTTGGCCTCATAATTTAATCGTTCTCTTTCAATTCGTTGGCATTCCTTTACTCAAGTCAGAGCTCCAGATAAGCTGAGTATTTCCATCAAAGCAAATCACCATAGCCCAATTAAATTTGATTGGCTTGGGGATAACTACGCGTGATATAATAAGGAACCCAGCTGTATCACATTGTTATTGCACAATGTAGCCTTTTCAGCTTGCATACCTGAATATCTTCACACACTTATATTAACTGATTGAATGCAGTCATCATCAATCCATAAACTCCACTGCAGTGAAGAATGCACAAAAGGGCTATAGCTCGCTTATTGTAACTGAGATGTGTATCGCTGTTGTGAACTAGGCATAGAACTAGGCATGTTGTTTGTTTGTTGATTAACGCCGCACTCAGCAATATTCTAGCTATATGACGGCGGTCTGTAAAATAATCGAGTCTGGACCAGACAATCCAGTGATTGACATCATGAGCTTCGATCTACGCAATTAGGATACGATGACATGCATCATCCAAGCCAGCGAGCATGACCACCCGATTCCGTGAAATACTAGTATCTAAGTCATGGAGATGGTACCGTATCCTCGAAGATGAGCCTCCACTTGCCCCTGGGCGCCTCCCCCCACGTATGCACGGACATGAGGGGCCAGTGTTTGTAGCCGCTGGAGGAGGTGTCGTAAGTACGCCGGGACAGCAACATCGTCGTCGTACCTGGAAACAACGCACAGTTTTGTTCAAATCGGATAAATGTTCATATCGGATTATCCTCTACTAAATCTCTCGTTTACCATCCTTAAAACCAGCAACACTAGCTTTCTCCGTGTTGCTATCAACACCCATCAACACCTTCCTCCCCTCATTGCCCTTTCTTCCTACCGTTTGTTTTCCAAGTGTTGCCTGCAACACGTGTCATCCCTTTATTGCCATCGTGATACCCCCTTCCTCCTTGCAACGCCCGTTTCCCCTTTCACTAGTCGTTAACAATAACTATACAATCCCCGTTTTTCAATTACTCCAATCAACGCCCGTTATTTACTTGCTCCAATCAAAGCCTGTTATTCAATTACTCCAATCAACGCCCGTTATTTACTTGCTCCAATCAACGCCAGTTTTGCAATTGCTCCAATCAAAGCATGTTATTCAATTACTCCAATCAACGTCCGTTATTCAGTTACTCCAAATCAACGCCTGTTCTTCAGTTACTCCAATCAACGCCTGTGATTCAATTTCTCCAATCAACGCCTGTTATTCACTTGCTCCAATCAACGCCTGTTATGCAATTGCTCGAATCAAAACCTGTTATTCAATAACTCCAATCAAAGCCTGTTATCCAATTACTCCAATCAACGCCAATTATTCAATTGCTCCAATCAACGCCTGTTCTTCAATTACTCCAATCAACGCCAGTTATTCACTTGCTCCAATCAAAGCCAGTTATTCAATTACTCCAATCAACGCCCGTTGTTCACTTGCTCCAATCAAAGCCAGATATTCAATTACTCCAATCAACGCCCGTTATTCACTTGGTCAATCAACCCCAGTTATTCAGTTACTCCAAATCAACGCCTGTTATTCAGTAACTCCAATCAGTGCCTGTTATGCAATTGCTCCAATCAACGCCAGTTATGCAATTACTCCAATCAACGCCCGTTATTCACTCGGTCAATCAACGCCAGTTATTCACTTGCTCCAATCAAAGCAAGTTATTCACTTACTCCAATCAACGCCCGTTATTCACTTGCTCCAATCAAAGCAAGTTATTCAATTACTCCAATCAACGCCCGTTATTCACTTGCTCCAATCAAAGCAAGTTATTCAATTACTCAAATCAACGCCCGTTATTCACTTGGTCAATCAACCCCAGTTATTCAGGTACTCCAAATCAACGCCTGTTATTCAGTTACTCCCAGCAGTGCCTGTTATGCAATTGCTCCAATCAACGCCTGTTATGCAATTACTCCAATCAACGCCCGTAATTCACTCGGTCAATCAACGCCAGTTATTCACTTGCTCCAATCAAAGCCTGTTATTCAATTACTCCAATCAACGCCCGTTATTCACTTGCTCCAATCAAAGCAAGTTATTCAATTACTCCAATCAACGCCCGTTATTCACTTGCTCCAATCAAAGCAAGTTATTCAATTACTCAAATCAACGCCCGTTATTCACTCGCTCCAAACAACATCCGTTATTCACTTATCCAATCCAACGCCCGTTCCAACTTGCTCCACCAACCCCCGTAATGCTTCCGACACGCACCTTTTGGAGAGACGAGGTAGAGGGAGAGGTCGCCCCTCCGGGTGTAGTCGGCATTTAGGGTGAGAATCACGTGCTCAAGGAAGTTGATTTCATTGTCTTCACCCTCACACCCGGAAGTGAAGATCTCAATCTCCAGCATCTTACCCCCGTCCACCGCATCCAGTGTCCTGCAACAAAGAGGATCGTACAATTATACACCATCCACGTGAACGCTTGACCGGCATACATAACACATTAAACACGTACGCGTGGGCATACAGAACACAACATACCCGTGGACATACAGAGCATGTCATACACATGGACAATAGAACTGACATGTGAAACAATACAGTGTGTCGGGGTGTAAAGGTGTGCGAGAGAAAGACCACGTGCAGCAGGCAACGAAGTCATGAAAAGTAAAATTGAACTACTTTTCATCACCTGCCCCGGTGGCTCAGTGGGATCACTGCGGGTTGCAAAACTAAACACGATATGTGAAGTTGCAGGTTCGGTTCCGGTCATCCATAATGCAAACTGTTATTTCTTTCTTCGATTTTAGAAAATTGGATGTTTGAAACACAAAGTACAAATATCGCTTTCTTCTCAACTCATCAGATCTCTCACGGAAAACGGAAAACCTCATACCCGGAATGAGGTATTACTGGGAATAAGTAAAACGTCCCAAGAGGTTAATACGAGATAGGAAGATACCTACAATAATTAGGCAAAAGTGGCAGTAAGTTTATAAGCTGTATGGCATGCCAGATATTCCTTCCCACTTTAATGTGGCAACCATTCGTCACCACTCGCCCCTTTCCGTAACCTGCAAGAAGACTCGTCCCCCTATCGATGAATGCTATGTGGGAAAATACGACAAACCAATCAGAATGCGCGTATGATTTCAAGTTCTTCGTCAAAGAATCCCTCAGAAACAATTTTTGATTTTACATATGTCTTGCATCTAAAAATATACCCAAGACACAGTTTCATGTGTTCAATCATACTGTATAATTCCGCATGTCCCGATGTGCTTTAAATCGCATCTGAAATATATATTATATACGGGGAAATATATGTGAACAATTACGCAACTAGTTGACAATTGTTTTTGGTATGCCCGTTTGCGCTAAGACGGATTCCGGTCGCAAAAATGGCATGAGTCGCTATTCGGCTTGTCCCGGAATAACACGAGTTGGTCACGAATGTGTGGCACCTAGAGTGGTCATGAGTATCCTGTACCTTGGCAGGTTGGAGGATGTCGAAGCTTTCACTTTGCACTCGAAGCTCTCCGGGACAGTTATCCACTCATTGGGGTCGGCAGCGTCCACGAGACCGCTTGCATCGAGCAGGCCGAAGCCGAACGCTGTGTTGACTCGGAACCCTGCGTCGTTCGTCTGCCAGCCCTTGTTGTGGGCGAGAGGGTCACTCTGGGACGTCCAGGCCACCAGATGCTGTACGTCACGCCACGTCAGACTTGGGCTGCGAGTACACCAGCGATTACACAACTATCTTCACAGGGACGACAAAGGATATTACATATATTATTGCTTACTTCGAACACCTCTTGAATGATGTTTTAGGTATAAGACATATCGTTGCCAAACTTGTTACTATATGCTCTCAATTGAATGCCATTGGGTATTCGTGGATCTATCTAGGAGCATTAACTAAGTACAATTGAATACAGATTTTTCTTGCCCCGAATTGATATTTCTTAAGATTCTTGTCATGCTTAATTCCTTTATCGAGTTGTACAACACTATAATGTCACACAAAGTGACATATGCAAAGTTATCACAAATTTTGTCATTTTTTTTTTGTATATTTGTTGTTTAACGCCGCACTCAGCAGTATTCCAGCTATATGACGGCGGTATGTAAATAATCGAGTCTGGACCAGACAATCCAGTGATTGATAACATGCGCTTCCATCCACGCTTTTGGGGTACGATCACATGCATCAACCAAGTCACCGAGCCTGACCACCCGATCCCGTTAGCTGCCTCTTACGACAAACATAATCGCCTTTTACGACAAGCATCGGTTGCTGAAGACCTATTCTGCCTGGGATATACTTTAGTGGTGTTAGTTTCCGACATTGAAAAGTTATGTGAATCGCCAGCATCTGCATATTCCTTCATATGTTATATACTACTCAACATTTGCTAAGGACACAAGGTGGCCACTATGCAGTTGCAATAGGGAGTGGTAGGATAATAAAATTGTACCATGAAAATATTTATGTCATTACTAGCATATTTGTTATTCGTTGACAGACTACTGTCTAATAGTCAGCTTTACAAAAAGTTGTGGTGCTTAGCAAATGTTGAGTAGTATAATAAGGTTAATACTCACTTTGCCTCAAGCAACAGGGCAAATATCCCAGCAGCCAATGGGGCAGCGGCTGACGTCCCCGTGTGCATGTTGGTACACTTATTCCTTAAGTCGGTTGACACCTGGACAGCCACAAATCGAGTCAGTGAGATGTTTAAACACCAATCACAGCGTGTCCCTGGAACCTTCTGGTGACTCATATCGTTAACGTTTACAACAGTGTTCATTCTAGAGCGCAGCATTGCTGATCCGTGGCAATCTAGGATTGAAACCCACGGTAATCGGATACTGGTGGGGACAAGGGAAAGAACTCTGCACAGAGTGATGCGGCACATAAGAGCACTGAGCCGCCAGTACCCCGAACAGTTAACGATATCAGCACATCCTACTTAGATATTGCAGCCCCAAAGACGTCATCAGTTAACACTAGAAGAAACAGGGGATATAGTTCTATGCATATACAACCTTTGTATTAAACTTCTTATATTTATTTTAAATTTACATTTTTATATTAATATTACAATATCCATAGATCTAATTTCCTTGTTCACATACCAAGCAGTCATTGCAATAGAGGAGCTGTATATCCAAAGAACTATATCCATTGTTCATCACACCTATTTCTAGATGACACTTAAAGAAGTAAACACTAGTGTGACGTGCAGTACAAATGTGGACCTGTATAGGTTGCACCGATGCGCGCCCCAACCTCCTCGTTTGAAGCGATTTTTTATTCGTACATTTGAAGTGAATGCTGTGCAACTGACGTCCTCCACATTAGGTGAATATAGGTAGAAGCGTCAGTCAACCTACCACTTTCTTGTCGTTCAGCCCGCCACTGGAGTAAGTGGTTGCCATGGTAGAGGCGCATCTCTCCCCATACCAGGGCCTCTCGAATGCCTGTGATGCGCTGCTGATGGAGATGGAGTAGATGCTGCCGGTGTAGCCGTCACAGTCACAGTTGTCCTTCATACGTCCGCCATTACCAGATGCCCACACGTAGATGACGCCCTTTCCGTTACGACCCTTTGAATAATAAGCTCAAGGTTTGCAGTTAGTTGTCCATACCAGCTCTAGACCGTACCATCACTCTCACATTTACATTTAATAACTTGATACCTGGCGGGCCTAGTCAAGACCATCACTTAAAGATATGGATGCCGGTTTCTTGGAATGTTTAAAGGTTATGTCTGAAATAAGTTCCGTGACCTCTAATTTACAATGTTTTTTTTCTCACTTCTTTTATTCCTGTCTCGAAGGCCTTCTTGGCGAGTTTGCCTGGCCCCTCTACTGTATGTCCGTCGTCGTTAGGTCCCCACGATGCGCTGTAGATGTCCACGTATTTGTGGTTGAACTGGATTGCCTCCCCTTCTAACACATCCGTGACCTTCCCATCCAACATTCGGACCCCTGCAACACGAGTAACCAACACGTGACTAACACGTGACCAACACGTCAGCAGCCTTCGTCCTCAACATTGATTGATTCAGAGCGATATATTGTTCAAAGGCCATAATCAAATTAATTTAGGAGCAAGCACATGAATTAAAGCTATCTTCATTTGATAACAACAAAACACATATTATATCAGTTCCTAGTCGTCGCCTGAAGGTCAGTGCTCTCTCTGTTCACCCATGTAATAACGCTGGGGTGACAACAGCCGATTTAACAGTGGTGGCCCTGTAGTCTTTCATAGATGTCCAGTTCATTTATAAACTTAGCTTTTAAACTGGTATGGTCTAATGGTAGAGCGTCCGCCCGGAGAGCGGAAGGTCCGGAGTTCGATCCCCAGCCGCGTCATACCAAAAGACGTTAAAAGATAGTACTTATTGTTACCCTGTCGCGCGGCAATGGGGGGCTAAAACAAGGACTGGTCGGCTCGGAGTCAATATAGGGGTATTCATGTTAAACTGCGGCATGGTATCTCAGTGGGCTTGCACTACAAAATCGGCATCAGTCCGGACTAGTACAAGCAGACACACACACACACACACACACACACGCACGCACGCACGCACGCACGCACACACACACACACACACACTCACACTCACACACACACGTGTATACACGTCGCCAGATAAGTGCAATAATCTTGGACGCGACGTTAAACCCCATCCACCTCATCTTTAAATTTGTTGTTTCACCCACAAATATTTGCAATTATCATGTCTTGCGAACTTCAGAAGGGTTAAGAAGATGTTGTGGCGGAATATTGTCTGCCGTTATCATGGCAGGTTCTAAAGCCAACTGAATTTCTCCCGTATAAGCGTGGCGTTGTTGAGGCACCGCTCTTGTTTCACTAATCCCGGGCTGTACGTGCTCGGTATCAGAATCAAGTTATCTAACTGCACTGTCAGCCACTCAAATAGAAGTTCGTCCCGCATGAAGTATTGGATTTTAGGACGCTTCACTGGTAAATCATCGGCAGACTTAATAGCACGGAGAAGAAGAACCTGTAGCGATGCAACCAAGCACTAACCAACATATGTGCACAACTATATATCTCTATATATATACCTCCTATTTTTGCATTAAATGCGACCCCGACACCACACTTCCCGTTGTTTGCCGTCATAGCTACCTCACCAGCGCAGCGAGTACCGTGTCTGAATGATAAATAAAAAGATATATTTAAAAATAATGATTACGATCTAAATGATGATGATGATGGTGATGATGATGATGATGTGTACATAAAGAGTTCATTCTTATGATTGGTTTTCCTCACGCATACAGAGTCTCTACATCATCACAATAGGTTGTATATATCAATGAATATTTTATATCAAGGAAGATATTTCTGTGATATGTTAAACATTGCCAGAGAGTTTGATAAACGTCTCTTTCATTGTCTAATTTTAACTACGACCACATCTACCACCTCAGCTACCACCTGAATGCTTATGTTATCAATCACTGGATTGCCGGTCCAGATTCTATTATTTACATACGGCCGTTATATAGCTGGAATATTGCTGAGTGCGGCGTTAAACAACAAATAAACAAACAAAACAACAACAACTATTACTACTATGCCCTCCTTCCCCAATGTTCCCTCACTGAAGCACACCTCCCCAGTCAGAGTTTACCCCACGAAACCTGCCCAGTCATAGTTGACATGCGGATACTGAAACTACTGACTTGTTTTCGTTGGTGGGGTCGTATCGGGGCATCGGGTCGCTGTCGTTGCCGTTCAGGTCGACGCTGGCTTTTGGATCCTTAAGTTAAGAGAAATATCCATTTTTATACAGACAGTTCGGAGAGTTCATTCTCTGAACTTCAGCTTGTGAGTGAATACGTGAATACGTGAGAATACTTCTCCACAAATAAAGCTTCTAAACGACGAGCTGTGTTTCTCCACTAACAAAGCTGGATACGTATAAATGACAAACTGTGTTTCTCCACTAATAAAGCTGTATCTTTCTTAATGACAAACTGTGTTCCTCCACTAACAAAGCTGTATCTTTCTTAATGACAAACTGTGTTTCTCCACTAACAAAGCTGTATCTTTCTTAATGACAAACTGTGTTCCTCCACTAACAAAGCTGTATCTTTCTTAATGACAAACTGTGTTTCTCCACTAACAAAGCTGTATCTTTCTTAATGACAAACTGTGTTTCTCCACTAACAAAGCTGGATACGTATAAATGACAAACTGTGTTCCTCCACTAACAAAGCTGTATCTTTCTTAATGACAAACTGTGTTTCTCCACTAACAAAGCTGTATCTTTCTTAATGACAAACTGTGTTTCTCCACTAACAAAGCTGTATCTTTCTTAATGTCAAACTGTTTTCGTCCACTTACAAAGCTGTATCTTTCTTAATGTCAAACTGTTTTCGTCCACTTACAAAGCTGTATCTTTCTTAATGTCAAACTGTTTTTCTCCACTTACAAAGCTGTATCTTTCTTAATGTCAAACTGTTTTCGTCCACTTACAAAGCTGGATACGTATAAAAGACAAACTGTTTTTCTCCACTAACAAAGCTGTATCTTTCTAAATGACAAACTGTGTTTCTCCACTAATAAAGCTGGACACGTATAAATGACAAACTGTGTTTCTCCACTACCAAAGCTGGACACGTATAAATGACAAACTGTGTTTCTCCACTACCAAAGCTGGATACGTATAAATGACAAACTGTGTTTCTCCACTAATAAAGCTGGATTCGTATAAATGACAAACTGTGTTTCTCCACTACCAAAGCTGGACACGTATAAATGACAAACTGTGTTTCTCCACTACCAAAGCTGGATACGTATAAATGACAAACTGTGTTTCTCCACTAACAAAGCTGGATACGTATAAATGACAAACTGTGTTTCTCCACTAACAAAGCTGGATACGTATAAATGACAAACTGTGTTTCTCCACTAACAAAGCTGGATACGTATAAATGACAAACTGCGTTTCTCCACTACCAAAGCTGGATACGTATAAATGACAAACTGTGTTTCTCCACTAACAAAGCTGGACACGTATAAATGACAAACTGTGTTTCTCCACTAACAAAGCTGGACACGTATAAATGACAAACTGTGTTTCTCCACTAACAAAGCTGGACACGTATAAATGACAAACTGTGTTTCTCCACTACCAAAGCTGGATACGTATAAATGACAAACTGTGTTTCTCCACTACCAAAGCTGGATACGTATAAATGACAAACTGTGTTTCTCCACTAACAAAGCTGGATACGTATAAATGACGAAATGTGTTTCTCCACTAACAAAGCTGTATCTTTCTTAATGACAAACTGTGTTTCTCCACTAACAAAGCTGGATACGTATAAATGACAAACTGTGTTTCTCCACTAACAAAGCTGGATACTTCGAAATGACAAACTGTGTTTCTCCACTAACAAAGCTGGATACGTATAAATGACAAACTGTGTTTCTCCACTAACAAAGCTGTATCTTTCTTAATGACGAAATGTGTTTCTCCACTTACCAAGCTGGAGATATGAACTTACGTAGTTATCTATAAGGTCTGTATGGTTCCTCTCAATACCTGCAGAAGAAAATAAGTAATTTATACCTTTATGTTTAATCTGGGGCCCCAAGCTAAACACTTGGTACTCATTTTCGTCTTAATGTCTTTGTCACATGATAGGCATAATGTTACAGATACGTGAGACTACGCATGCGTGGAGCTCACCGTCATCAAGAATCGTGACGACCACGCCCCTTCCGGTGATGTTCTTGCTCCAGACAGGCATGACGTGAAGGTCGACCTTGGGGCTGACGGTGCCCTCCCGATCGTCTCTCTGGGTAATATAACATAAACTTTTCCCGTCAAAAAAGCCCAAACTCTGCAGAATCACAAGACCATATACTAGTATACCACCCATAACATGAAACACATAGTGATGTAACCCACTAGAACAGTGTAATTTTGTACAGCAAGCAAACGTGTTCGTATCAGCTGTGTCTTACAGAACACAACATGATGAAGTGGTAGAACAACCGCTACACTATGTGGTAGAACAACCGCTACTCCATATGGTAGAACAACCGCTACTCCATATGGTAGAACAACCACTACACTATGTGGTAGAACAACCGCTACTCCATATGGTAGAACAACCGTTACACTATGTGGTAGAACAACCGCTACTCCACATGGTAGAACAACCGCTACACTATGTGGTAGAACAACCGCTACTCCATATGGTAGAACAACCACTACACTATGTTGTAGAACAACCGCTACACTATGTTGTAGAACAACCACTACACTATGTGGTAGAACCACCCTCTATTACATGTGGTAGAACAACCGCTACACTATGTTGTAGAACAACCGCTACACTATGTGGTAGAACAACCGCTACACTATGTGGTAGAACAACCGCTCCACTATGTGACAGAACAACCGTTACACTATGTGGTAGAACAACCGCTACACTATGTTGTAGAACAACCGCTACACTATGTGGTAGAACAACCGCTACTCTATGTTGTAGAACAACCGCTACACTATGTGGTAGAACAACCGCTACACTATGTGGTAGAACAACCGCTCCACTATGTGACAGAACAACCGCTACACTATGTTGTAGAACAACCACTACACTATGTGGTAGAACAACCGCTACACTATGTGGTAGAACAACCGCTACTCCATATGGTAGAACAACCGCTACACTATGTGGTAGAACAACCGCTACTCTATGTGGTAGAACAACCGCTATTCCATGTGGCAGAACAACCGCTACTCCATATGGTAGAACAACCGCTTCACTATTTGGTAGAACAACCGCTACTCTATGAGGTAGAACCACCCTCTATTCCATGTGGTAGAACAACCGCTTCACTATGTGGTAGAACAACCGCTACACTATGTGGTAGAACCACCCTCTATTCCATGTGGTAGAACAACCGCTACACTATGTGGTAGAACAACCGCTTCACTATGTGGTAGAACAACCGCTACACTGTGTGGTAGAACCACCCTCTATTCCATGTGGTAGAACAACCGCTACACTATGTGGTAGAACAACCGCTACACTGTGTGGTAGAACAACCGCTACACTATGTGGTAGAACCACCCTCTATTCCATGTGGTAGAACCACCCTCTATTCCATGTGGTAGAACAACCGCTACACTATGTGGTAGAACAACCGCTACACTGTGTGGTAGAACAACCGCTACACTATGTGGTAGAACAACCGCTACACTGTGTGGTAGAACAACCGCTACACTATGTGGTAGAACAACCGCTACAATATGTGGTAGAACAACCGCTACACTATGTGGTAGAACAACCGCTACACTATGTGGTAGAACAACCGCTACACTATGTGGTAGAACAACCGCTACACTATGTGGTAGAACAACCGCTACACTATGTGGTAGAACCACCCTCTATTCCATGTGGTAAAACAACCGCTACTATATGTGGTGGACAACCGCTTCACTATGTGGTAGAACCACCCTCTATTCCATGTGGTAGAACAACCGCTACACTATGTGGTAGATCCACCCTCTATTCCATGTGGTAGAACAACCGCTACACTATGTGGTAGAACCACCCTCTATTCCATGTGGTAGAACAACCGCTACTCTATGTGGTAGAACCACCCTCTATTCCATGTGGTAGAACAACCGCTACACTATGTGGTAGAACAACCGCTACACTATGTGGTAGAACAACCGTTACACTATGTGGTAGAACAACCGCTACACTATGTGGTAGAACAACCGCTACACTGTGTGGTAGAACAACCGCTACACTATGTGGTAGAACAACCGCTACACTATGTGGTAGAACAACCGCTACACTATGTGGTAGAACAACCGCTACACTATGTGGTAGAACCACCCTCTATTCCATGTGGTAGAACAACCGCTACTCTATGTGGTAGAACAACCGCTACACTATGTGGTAGAACAACCGCTACTCCATATGGAAGAACAACCGCTACTCCATATGGTAGAACAACCGCTACACTATGTGGTAGAACAACCGCTACACTATGTGGTAGAACAACCGCTACACTATGTGCTAGAACAACCGCTACACTATGTGGTAGAACAACCGCTACACTATGTGGTAGAACCACCCTCTATTACATGTGGTAGAACAACCTCTACACTATGTGGTAGAACCACCCTCTATTCCATGTGGTAGAACAACCGCTACACTATGTGGTAGAACCACCCTCTATTACATGTGGTAGAACAACCTCTACACTATGTGGTAGAACAACCGCTACACGATGTGGTAGAACAACCGCTACACTATGTGGTAGAACCACCCTCTATTACATGTGGTAGAACAACCTCTACACTATGTGGTAGAACCACCCTCTATTCCATGTGGTAGAACAACCGCTACACTATGTGGTAGAACCACCCTCTATTCCATATGGAAGAACAACCGCTACACTATGTGGTAGAACCACCCTCTATTCCATGTGGTAGAACAACCGCTACACTATGTGGTAGAACCACCCTCTATTCCATGTTGTAGAACAACCGCTACACTATGTGGTAGAACAACCGCTATTCCATATGGAAGAACAACCGCTACACTATGTGGTAGAACCACCCTCTATTCCATGTGGTAGAACAACCGCTACACTATGTGGTAGATCCACCCTCTATTCCATGTGGTAGAACAACCGCTACTCTATGTGGTAGAACCACCCTCTATTCCATGTGGTAGAACAACCGCTACACTATGTGGTAGAACAACCGCTATTCCATATGGAAGAACAACCGCTACACTATGTGGTAGAACCACCCTCTATTCCATGTGGTAGAACAACCGCTACACTATGTGGTAGAACAACCACTACACTATGTGGTAGAACAACCGCTACTCCATATGGAAGAACAACCGCTACACTATGTGGTAGAACCACCCTCTATTCCATATGGTAGAACAACCGCTACACTATGTGGTAGAACAACCGCTACACTATGTGGTAGAACAACCGCTACACTATGTGGTAGAACCACCCTCTATTACATGTGGTAGAACAACCTCTACACTATGTGGTAGAACCACCCTCAATTCCATGTGGTAGAACAACCGCTACACGATGTGGTAGAACCACCCTCTATTACATGTGGTAGAACAACCTCTACACTATGTGGTAGAACCACCCTCTATTACATGTGGTAGAACAACCTCTACACTATGTGGTAGAACCACCCTCTATTCCATGTGGTAGAACAACCGCTACACTATGTGGTAGAACAACCGCTATTCCATATGGAAGAACAACCGCTACACTATGTGGTAGAACCACCCTCTATTCCATGTGGTAGAACAACCGCTACACTATGTGGTAGAACAACCGCTAGACTATCTGGTAGAACAGCCGCTACTCCATTTGGTAGAACAACCGCTACACTATGTGGTAGAACAACCGCTACTCCATTTGGTAGAACAACCGCTACACTATGTGGTAGAACAACCGCTACAATATGTGGTAGAACAACTGCTACTGCATATGGTAGAACAACCGCTACACTATGTGGTAGAACAACCGCTACATTATGTGGTAGAACAACCGCTACTCCATATGGTAGAACAACCGCTACACTATGTGGTAGAACAACCGCTACACTATGTGGTAGAACAACCGCTACACTATGTGGTAGAACAACCGCTACTCCATATGGTAGAACAACCGCTACACTATGTGGTAGAACAACCGCTTCACTATGTGGTAGAACAACTGCTACTCCATATGGTAGAACAACCGCTACACTATGTGGTAGAACCACCCTCTATTCCATGTGGTAGAACAACCGCTACACTATGTGGTAGAACAACCGCTACACTATGTGGTAGAACAACCGCTACTCCATATGGTAGAACAACCGCGACACTATGTGGTAGAACAACCGCTACACTATGTGGTAGAACAACTGCTACTCCATATGGTAGAACAACGGCAACACTATGTGACAGAACAACCGCTACATTACACAAATGCATGGCGCAAAAACACATCCAACAGCGGATATAATAGATGAGGTGAAATGGAGTTTAACGTCGCGTCCAAGATTATTGCACTTATATGGCGACGTGTATGCACGTGTGTGCGTGAATGTGTGCTTCTGCTAGTCCAGACTGATACCGATTTATAGTGCTAGCCCACTGAGATACCATGCCGCAGTTTAACATGAATACCCCACTCAGACACAGTACCCTGACTCCGAGCCGACCAGCCCTTGTTCTGGGCCGAGTGTCAGACAAGTACCATCTTTAAACGTCTTTTGGTATGACGCGGCAGGGGATCGAACCCCGGACCTTCCGCTCTCTCTACCACCAGACCACGGAGGCGGTCCCCGATATAATAGAACAGCAATTGTTACGCCATGGCTGTAAATGCAATATCAGAATAACTACATGTCGCAGTATCTCATTAGATACACACTATAGTAATTCTAGCAATATTCCAGCATTAATTCTACTAAATTCTAACAGTTTTTCAGCAGTAATTGTGCTTTCATTCTAGCAATATTCCATCAATAATTCTTCTAAATCCTAACAGTATTCCAGCAACAATTACTCTAAATTCTGGCAATATTCCCGCAAGAATTCCATTAAATTCTAGCAATATTCAAGCACCAATTCACTAAATTCTACTGATATTCCAGCAATAATTCTTCTTAATTTTAGCAATATTTCAGCAATAATTATGTTTTATTTCTAGCAGTAATTATATTTACCTATTTCTAGCAATATTCCAGCAATAATTCTATTAAATTCAAGCAATCTCAGTTGTCCAATTCCGGAAATGCATGCCGTACATATGTTGTAAAACGTACCAAATACCACTGGTCCTTAAACATGGGGTCCGAGAAGCTGTTTTGTATATTTCTGTATAGCCGGTCCTCCGTCTCACGCTTGTCCTCGAGGTATGCGCGTTCCACCAGGTATGCCTTTTCCTCCAGGTATCCCCTCTTGCTTCTCACCTTGCTCTCCTGCTGCTCCGCCCATTCTACCTGCAATCACACGTGTGTCAACCTGTAATCACTCATCTGTTTCTACCTGCAATCACACGTGTGTCAACCTGTAATCACTCACATGTTTCTACCTGCAATCACACGTGTCTACCTGTAATCACTCACATGTTTCTACCTGCAATTACACACGTGTCTACCTGTAATCACTCACATGTTTCTACCTGCAATTACACGTGGTTCTACCTGTAATCACTCAAATGTTTCTACCTGCAATTACTCGCGTATCTACCTGTAATCACTCACATGTTTCTACCTGCAATTACAAATATGTCTGTCTGTCCCGACTCACACGTTTTTAATTACAATAACGCACGTGTTTACATGTACTCGCTCATATGTTTCTACCTGCAATTACACATGTGTCTACCTGTGCTGACTCACATGTTTCGACAATGCAATAACACATGTGTCTACCTGTGCTGACTCACATGTTTCGACAAGGCAATAACACATGTGTCTACCTGTGCTGACTCACATGTTTCGACAATGCAATTACACATGTGTCTACCTGTGCTAACTCACATGTTTCTACCTGCAATTACAGACGTGTCGACCTGTAATCACTCACATGTGTCTACCTGCAATTACACATGTGTCTACCTGTGCTAACTCACATGTTTCTACCTGCAATAACAGACGTGTCGACCTGTAATCACTCACATGTGTCTACCTGCAATTACACATGTGTCTACCTGTGCTAACTCACATGTTTCTACCTGCAATTACAGACGTGTCGACCTGTAATCACTCACATGTTTCTACCTGCAATTACACATGTGTCTACCTGTGCTAACTCACATGTTTCTACCTTCAATAACAGACGTGTCGACCTGTACCATCTTACATGTTTCTACCTACAATTACACGCGTATCTACCTGTTCTGACTCACGTGTTCCTACCTATAATCACACACACGTCTACCTATATCACACACACACGTCTACCTATAATCACACACACACGCAAACCTACCTATAATCACACACACACACACGTCTACCTATAATAACACACACGTGTACCTATAATCACACACACACCTACCTATAATCACACACACACACGTCTACCTATAATCACACACACGTGTACCTATAATCACACACATGAGAACCCCACTGATCCGTAGCCTGGTTTAACACACCAGCATTCAGAATGAACAAACTAGGTGTTTCGTTAATTTTTTGCTATTTTCTCGTCACTTTTAAACTGATTTTTTTTCTCGAAATTTCATCAAACTTGTGAAACTGAACTGTTCCCAGTAACACGTGGAAGTTAACAGCAGGTTTTAGTTGTAAACCCTCTCTCCAATTTCAGGAAATTGAGAGATCTTTCTATTGGAATATTCCATTATCGTCTTTGTGGCAGCAGTCGCCGTCTCCTCCACGTTTCCCGACAGTCACGTCGTGCCGGAAGACGTAAGCGCGGCGTCATTGACTTGACCTGTTCCCCGGATAGCGGACGGCAAGGACGATTCACTCTCAATTAACACACGCGGAACCATAAGCAGTAGTGGCCAGCGAGTGCCTCCGACCCAATACAGGAATATTACGCGATTATCAGTCAATGCATAAAATTGTATTTCCGTGTTGGAAGGAACTGTTAAGAGTATTGGCTATTTGGTGGAGGTCATAGTTTCCTTATATTGGTAAGGAAGGGGCTGGGATGGGGTGAAGAGAAGGGCTGAGACACGAGGGGAGTGCGACGACCCAACGGGACGGACCTATGTAGGGGGAGGTGCTGGGATGTTAAATCCCGGGAAGGAGAGGTGAGTGTGAGTGAGTGAGTTTGGTTTTACGCCGCTTTTAGCAATATTCCAGCAATATCACGGCGGGGGACACCAGAAATTGGCTTCACACATTGTACCCATGTCGGGATTCGAACCCGGGTCTTCGGCGTGACGAGCGAACGCTTTAACCACTAGGTAAACCGACCGCCCCGGGAAGGAGAGGTGCATAGACCAGGTCAAGGACATTGCGGGGCGGTCGGGTAGCCTAGTGGTTAAAGCGTTCGCTCGTCACGCCGAAGACCCGGGTTCGATTCCCGACATGGGTACAATGTGTGAAGCTCATTTCTGGTATCCCCCGTCGTGATATTGCTGGAATATTGCTAAAGGCGGCGTAAAACCATACTCACTTACCAACTCACTCACTCAAGGACATTGCGCGGGCGAGGACGAGGACTAAGAGGTGTAGACATTAAAACCAGTACTTCTTTATACAATGTGCGTACTAACTGATTTATTAGTGACAAACTTGAACGAGTGAAAATGCAGGTAAATAAAAAGTGTGCATAACACGTAGACGATGTCTGCAATCTCTGGGAAGGACAGACCACAGAACAAAGATGGCAAGTAGGAAAGCTGTAAACCCAGCATGCACATTGTATAGCTAAGTGTTAATGCTTTAACAACCACACAACCACACCCCTCACGCCATGCATGTATCCAGAGGACTATTAAACACTAGTTAATATACATATCGATCAGCAAAAATGAAAAGAAAAATTTCTACGCATAATAAACACATCATATGCAACACGTACTAACATTGGAAATATCAATAAAATTAATGCATTTGTCATGGTTGTAGGTACGCCTGTCGTTTTCGATACACGTGATACATACATGCATTATGGATGAGAAGAATTCCATCAATAAGTGTTGTGAAACGAGAACAGATGGATCATTGTTACTCTATGCGGTTAAAGGTTAACAATAATGTTACGGTAAAGATCATATTTTTTTGTCGTCGGTAATTCTTTCATAGTAGATAGTGTTGTTTGATCATGTCTTCCCTAGCACGGAGGAAGTTTCCTACCGCGCATGTCAGTAGTCACCCGGATGTGTCGTTACATTGTTGGACGCGGTGGACCATTCGTCACCACTCGCCCCTTTCCGTAACCTGCAAGAAGACTCGTCCCCCTATCGTTGAGTGTTATGTGCGAAACTACGACAAACCAATCAGAATGCGCGTATGATTTCAAGTTCTTCGTCAAAGAATCCCTCAGAAACAGTTTTTGATTTTACATGTCTTGCATCTAAAAATATACCCAAGACACAGTTAAATGTATACCGTATAATTCCGCATGTCCCGGTGTGCTTTAAATTGCATCTGATATATAATTATAATATATGGGGAAATATATGTGAACCATTACGCAACGAGTTGACAATTGTTTTAGGTATGCCCGTTTGCGCTAAGACGGAACCCGGTCGCAAAAATGGCCATAAGAGGGGCACGAGTCTATTCGGCTTGTTCCGGAATAACACGAGTTGGTCACGATTTGCGGTGGACCTGAACTGAGGACGGGCGCATACGTTCTGTATCATCCAGAGGATAACAATTTTTATTTGTAGGGTGGAAGCAGCCGAATGCATACTACACACTAGGCACACTGCGAACACCATCACGAAGAGTTGCTACGCGTACTCCCCATACAATGCTCTCTACTAACACTATACTCAAACCACAAACTACGAACACTACGCTCCCTCCTCATATTACGAACGCTATTATCGCTACGAACACTACGCTCAATCCGCGAACTACGAACCCTACTGTCGCTAAGAACACTACGCTCATACCGCACACTACGAACAGTACGAACACTACGCCCACTCCCCACACTGCGAATCCAAGTGTCGATACGCACACTACGCTCACTCCTCATATTACGAACCCTACTGTCGCTACGACACAACGCTTAATCCGCGCACTACGAACCCTACTGTCGCTAAGAACACTACGCTCATAAAGCACATTACGAACAGTACGAACACTACGCCCACTCCGCACACTACGAAACTACGCTCATTCCGCACACTGCGAACCCAAGTGTCGATACGCACACTACGCTCACTCCTCATATTACGAATCCTACTGTCGCTACGAACACTACGCTCAACCCGCGCACTACGAACCCAACTGTTGCTAAGAACACTGCGATCATACCGCACACTACGAACAGTACGAACACTACCAACACTACGCTCAATCCGCACACTACGAACCCTACTGTCACATCAAACACTACGCTCACTTCGCACACTACGAACTCTGCAGTCGCTATAAAGAAGACGCCAATTCTGCACACTGCGAACGCTACTGACTCTACGAACACTACGCTCAATCAGCGCACTACGAACCCTACTGTCGCTAAGAACACTACGCTCATACCGCACACTACGAACAGTACAAACACTACGCCCACTCCGCACGCTACGAACACTACGCTCTCTCCGCACACTACGAACTCTACAGTCGCTATGAAGACAACGCCCATACTGCAAACTACGAACGCTACTGCCACTACGAGCACTCCGCTCACTTCGCACACAAGGAACCCAAGTGTCGATACGAACACTACACACTTCGCACACAATGCGCACCTTCAACGCAACAGGCACACTGTATATGCTACGCAATCTGTCTTTAATGATGAGCATCTTCGTATAACAGCGTGGTTCATTAGCTAGATCATGATGCATCAACGGGAACTATAGATCAAGCAGTAATTTCAAAAGAAACAATTAAGTGGCATGAAGAAATAACTAGATTAAGTCAAATGTTTTCTGATTTATGGACGCCAGCAGCCGCAGGAGTGATGTAGGATCAGTTTACCAAGTCGGGATGCAGCATCTGGACCAGGCTATTAATCCAGTTACATTCTAGTTTTGTTGCCATAGTTACCACAATATTATTGTTGAAGCAATGTGTATTGTATTGGACCAGGATCTCCCCGATACTGCGCGTTGAAAGCCATACCATACGTAGGAACCTCTCTTACTTCCGACAAGGTTGTGTTTACACGAACCCAAATGTTATTCAAATAATTAATTGAATGGTTTTCATAGCGTTTCTGTCGCGTGTGTGTTTCCCTTTGTGATTAAATCACATTTCTAAAGAATAAATATCAGTAGAATGTTTTAAGTTTATGGATCTTTTAAATACGCCCCTACACGCTTTACGCCAATGATATCAAAACAAAAACCTTATTTCCCACAAGTCTTAAAGAACCATTATCTTTAATAAATACGATGGAATAATTACGGATAATCATCAATTTAATGACCACGTTGTATATTACACATTGAAGTGCATGTCGGCGTGTAACCAATAGTGCGTTATCATCTGCATTAAGTATATGCATCAGGCAGTCGTAGAGATCCACATATCCGTTTTCTTTCAACATGGAGTGTGCGACAGATAGAGAGTATTACCGTATGTCTTGGGAGTGTTGGGAAGAGGAGATGAAATAATCAGGTATTCACTTCGTAATCTCGAGGTGGAAAAGCTTTTCTCCTATGTCAAAATTGCTAAGCTTTCAGTCACTCATTGACAGATAAATGTCGAAAGGTGATGAATGACCTTTGTATCGCGTCTTTTCATTGGATAAAACCGGTTGCTATGTCGCTGAAGGCCTCCATTACCGGAAATTGCAGTTGGTGGCCAGTTGATTAGGTGATGGCGAACCGCTGCGGGAATAGGACCATTTCCTCCCTCAACTCAATATAACTTCGATTGTTTTCTCAATGAATAAAAAATAATTAAACATTTATTGGCAAGAAAGATTTTAGTTACAATAGGTTCTGTCTCAAACGGTCGTTACAAAATATTGACTTCCCAAACACTCGCGACAGCATAAGGATTAGGCCGTGCTTGTATGCCAATGCAGACAGATTAATGTCTTGATATTGGCACGTAACACAGAGCATAGACTACATCCACGCTATCACAGACAATGTATTCATTTATTCATTCGTTCGTTCGTTCGTTCGTTCGTTCGTTCGTTTGTTTGTTTGTTTATACATCCATCCATCCACCCATTCATTTATTTATTCATAACGATCAATAGAATGGATTAATAAAATGTTGAGAACAGTATTTTCTTCCCTCTGCTAAATCCATATCTCTCCACTAATTTAGGTGTAAAAAAACTTCAAATACGTCATTATATAGGAAGCGAAGCAACCATTCGACTTGCCATTCTATAAAAAAGTATATTTATAATATCCCAACATTTCTTTTAGAAATCCATTAAAATAAAAAAAATCACTTCGGCCAGCAACTCTACATTGTTAGGAAAAAATATCTAACGTTTATCTAAATATATTAAATAGAAACATAATACTTATGAAAGTCCATTACAACCACAAGTTTCATATTTTCCACAATGATTACAACTTTCACACTATACAATTGGGTGCTGTGAACTAAGCCTGTCGGTGCTATTGCCACATGCGTCCTTTCGTTTCTCCCACTATACGTCCCCCACTAGTATATATGGAGCCTCGGTTCAAGTCATATTTGCCTACTTTGGTTCCTACAGTGGCCATCAACCGCCTCCGTGGTCTAGTGGTAGAGCGTCCGCCCGGAGAGCGGAAGGTCCGGGGTTCGATCCCCGGCCGCGTCATACCAAAAGACGTTAAAAGATGGTACTTGTTGTTACCCTGTCTGGCGCTTGGCATTAAGGGGCTAAAACAAGGACTGGTCGGCTCGGAATCAGTATACTGTGTCTGAGTGGGGTATTCATGTTAAATTGCGGCATGGTATCTCAGTGAGCTAGCACTATCAATCGGCATCAGTCCGGACTAGTACAAGCAGCCACACAAACACAAACACATACACGTACATGCACGTCGCTATATAAGTGCAATGATCTTGGACGCGACGTTAAACCCAATTTCACCTCACCTCACCTACAGTGGCCATCATTGTATTGTTAACGACGAAAAAGTGACATACGGTTGTCGGAATCTATTACCTCCCAATGAAACAACCCTTTTACCCCCACCCCCACCATCATCCCCACACCCACCCCAGCGACACGCACGCCGCCTTACTGTCCCCAGAGCATTCCTCGGTTTCCCAGCGATGGGCTCTGTCAGCAGATATGATAAATATCTTCTAACTGTTTCTGATTCACAAGACTAAGACCCCTGGGACTAGAGCTACAGGAGGAACATTATCGTCACTGTTCCACCTGCGTTGTCCGAGTACCAACAAGGGAAGGATGCTACTTTGTATTGTGACGTAATCCTTCTATAACTACTTTGTATTACTGATTCCCTTTTCAATTACATTGGCCGAAATAAAAATAAAAGTTAATTTATCCTGAAAAGAAGTTTGGGCGGAATACATGTAAAGGAGCATTTAATGGTTATTCACATTTGCCCACTTATATATACTTACCATTATGGAAAAAAATAACTGACCAAATTTTAATTTTATTCAGCACTTATGATATTTTGGATCGGCGGATTAAAGAAAAACACCTGTATATAAATGTGTAACGATGGATATATGTTAAATCGCAAAATGTGCATCCTATTATTTTTTCTTCTCTAAAACAGGCATAGCAAAAGACAACTGCACAGAAATCCAATTCTCTAGAAGCTGGTAAACAGTTCTTAGTTATTTATGCAGATGATTTCATATTATGCTACGTATAAATGTGTGACAATTAGACACACATAAATCTTTTGGATACACAAAATAAATTAAATATTCTACATGAATGTATTTAATTGTTTATATTATGTTTAAAAGTCTAAATCACTTAATTAACAGTAAAATTATCGTTACCGTTTCAGTTATACAATGATGTCATATATGAGAATATAAAGTTTGACATGTCATTGTGTAGTATAGCTGGTCACTCATATCTCATCAAGACATCTAACAAACAAAAACAAACCTCTCGATCAGAAACTGCAATATCTTTGTGAATGGTAATATTGTATATATGCTCACCGACAAAAGAAACGCGAATACCATGCGTGTTGGTTAATATAACTTTATGAAGAATTACTCATATTCAAGAGATATTAGATTGGTTTGATGCACAGACGAACATACTTTGTCTCGTGCAGGATTAGCATGACTGTAAAGTTTGGAAATCTCGTGCAGCATATTGTGATACGAATAAAAACACACTATGGTAACAATTGACTGATTGTTAGTTTTGTCATTAAGTAGTACACATTGGAAACATCTCTCCTTAACGTACATACTTTTCTATATGTTTCTGTGGTTTTGCGTTTCATTTGATGCCGAGTATATATGACTCGACGACTCGTGTTACCTACTAGCCATTCCAGGACGTTCTAAACATAAAATGTAAAAACAAACGAAAATAAATAAATTTAGATATACCACCAGAGAACAGATCCAGGTTCGTTCTTCACTGTGAATTAATTACGAATGTACAGTAAACTACGTATATAACGAACACGCTTATAACGAAGTGACGCATATAACGAACTGTTGTTTTTGGTCTCGTTTGGGTTTTTGGGGTTTTTTTTTGCGATAACCTTCAGTTGAAAACCTTATAACGAACTATGGATATAACGAACACAAATTATTGGTCCCTTTGAGTTCGTTATAACCGTAGTTTCTGTTGTATAGGGACAGTGTATAGAGCCTACCCTGTGGTCCCCTGTCAGCCGTCTGGTTTGGTGGTCCGCACTGCGCCGGGACCGGTGAGGGACGTTGTTGTGGCGTAGCAAGTAATGGTCATCGAATCCTCGCACCTGCAAAACAGAACATACCATCCTTACTCAGGTTTGTTTGTTTGTTTGTTGTTTAACGCCGCAATCAGCAATATTCTGGCTATATGACAGCGGTCTGTAAATAATCGAGTATGGACAAGACAATCCAGTGATTGACATCATGCGCATCGATCCACACAATTGGGATACGATGACATACATCAACCAAGTCAGCGAGCCTGACCATCCAATCCCGTTAGTCGCCTCTTACGACAAGCATAGTCGCCTTTTACGGCAAGCATGGGTTGCTGAAGACCTATTCTACCCCGGATCTGCACAGGTCCTTTACTCAGGTGCAGTCCCATATATACACAAACAAGAAACACTGTGATCTGCCTCTCTCACTGCTTTTTAAACAGTTAAATAATAAACAGCAACCCCGGATAACAACCAATGTTGATTATCCACCGAAACTGATTCCATTGAGTGTGAAAGGTAAAAGAGCGGTGAAACTTATATGTGCCAGGGAAAAGAGTTACGTTGATTCGTGCTATACAATTTGATGATAGTACTCTGAAACTATTTCTCATGTGGTTTGTTAATTTAGGCAGGAGTCAGCAATGCTCCATGTTTGCATTCTGTACATAATCGAGTCATACAGGTGACCTAGTCGCCTAAGGCGCCGCAATTCGCTGTGCAGAGTGCCACACCAGAACCCTATGATTGTGAGATCGTCACACCTGCATCACTTCGGGCTCTCCTCCCACATTAAGCTGACACGCCGTGAAATAAAATTAATATTGTTCAAAGCGGCGTTAAACCTAACTCACTCACTCACTTACTTACACAAAATCGAGTCAAACAAGGCAAACCAGTGTTGGATAGCATGAGCAAATTCCCAAGCATTCGGGAAGCGATGGCACGCAACCAGCCAAGTCACAGGGCCAAACCCCCCGATGCCCAGTTTAATCGGGTCTTTCGACAATGCTGGTTAACACGAAATCCGTTCTATCCCTTGGGGTATGCCTGGGATTTTATCCCAAAAAATAAATTGTCCCTGAATTGTTTTGAAATTGTTGTGGCTCGTACCTTTGATAAACAATGAAATTTCCTGCCACAAAATTTACATTGTTGCAAGGCGTTTTTCTTTAAAAATAAAATCAGGCTCAAAGTTTTAAATAAATAATAATCTGGATTTGAAGCTGAAGCTGTAAAAATATCTAATCTCGATACCATATCCCAGTTACCCCAACCCCTCCAGAATATCAAATAGTCGTCACTTAGTCCTTTTAAGCTCAACTTCAGAAATATGCACTGATCACGACATCGGTCTTAGAAAGCCACAATTGTCAACAATTTTCAGCAATTGCGTCGTTTCTAGTGTGACGTCATTCCGACCTTATGTCACATGATTCGAATAACGTCTTCAGTGCCGTCCGGATGACGTAAACAGTACACTGTTGCGCATGAAATGATATATGCATTAGTGCACATACGATTTTTTATTAACAGGGTTATTTCTAACCCTGTGGGTAATAAATAGGGATTATTATACGAGCATGTGTGTCAAACTGATTTTACAAAACGAGTGTCAGAATTTTTGCATTTCCCGAGCGAGAGCGCGTGTATGACACGAATTACACGAGTTTCGTAAGATCAGAGTAACACACATGCAAGTATTATAATTTCTTTATTACGCATTATCACAATTCTTTTGAGCTCCCTTTTAGAAAAGTGCACAGATCACGACTGCCGTCTCAGAAAACCACAATTGTCGAATGACGTCAGAATTCTTCAGTTATGACGTCGTTTCTAGTATGATATCATTCCGACCTTACGTCACAATAATATTCGAAGGACGTCAACAAATCCGCCCACATGACGTAAACAATACACTGGTATGCGTGAAGTGATATTTGCACAAGTGCACATACGACTTTTATTAACTCGTTTATTTCTAACCTTATGGGTAATAAACAAATGTATTGCTTAACAACCGATAAGTTATTTTTAAAAACACTGGCTCCCACAGGAGATATCGCTTGGATTAGATCACACTGTAGATATCGCTGCATTGAAATTACATCACAATGCTTTGCAGACCATTGTGACGTCACTGGTTACCATGATGTCACAATCAAATGACATCACTAATGGCTCTGCTACTGAAGCTGTTAGCAGTACTTTTTACACTGAAGACACTGCTAATTACTGTCTACAAATTGAAAAAGTTGGAAGAATGATGTTGGATGATAAATAGAATCACACCCTCGTGTCTTTTGATATCAAATATATCAACACTCGTTGATAAAAGTGGAAAAAATCCTCGGCAAACCTCGGAATTTTTCCACTTTTATCAACTCGTGTTGATATATTTGATATCAAAAGACACTTGGGTGAGATTCTCTATATGTATTACAACACCTATAGTCCAACGATGAATCAGGGACACGAATAGGATGGCATGGGGGCAAACCGGTGAAGACTTCAATCACATTATAACCACCTTAGTTCACCGCACAAGAAGTAAATTAGAACTCATAACATCGCTTATATCGCAGTGATCCTTCGAGAAATTTAATCAACGTTGCCGTTTTTCGTATTAACTGGGCTGCCTTCCCTCATCCCATCGCATAGCTGACGTTTGAGAGGTGATTTAGGTGACACCTGGTCTATAGAAGGGAGCCAGGTGTGTTGAAATGGAGGGAAGCTTGCACGGGTTAGACATGGTGAAATGTGCAACTCGTATTTTTTAAACCACCAACGGTGGAAATACGTTCGACCAAACTACAACACCTTTTGGTTACAAAAGGTAAAAGCTCTGTAGTGAATGTGTTGGTTTATATGTCTAAACTAAACTCTCCCTCGTCAATATGTTTGTAAATATGTCTAAACTAACTCTCCCTCGTCAATATGTTTGTAACTATATCTAAACTAAACTCTCCCTCGTCAATATGTTTGTAAATATGTCTAAACTAAACTACTACCATCCCCCCCCACCCCCCATCCCCCTCCCCCCGTGAATATGTTTGTAAATGTGTCTGCGATACTCTCGATCGATCTAAGTAGATCTAAACTACATAAAATCCATCGTGAGTATATGAGACGTAATCGCTCGACTAAACACTAATACTGTAGTGTGCCGTAAACAACAATGTTCCCCCTCAGGGGCTAACGGGGTATTAAACACATCACATTTAGAAAGGAAGACAAGCTAATGGGGTTTACATCTGTGTAAACCCCTGTATTTGCCAACCAGTCAGTTGCATTTTTACGACTACTTCGCGCATATCTTTTTAGGGGACTTGCTGAGAGTTGCTTAGGATGTTAACTATTATTTACTCTAAACTACAGATTGGCAGTCACAGATTCCTGCCAGTAGTCCGACACCCAGTTGTCCAGCATGTGAGTAGTCCGACAATCAGGAGTCAGACATGTGAGTAGTCAGACACCCAGTAGTCCAACATGTGCGTAGTCCGACACCCAGTAGAAAGACACCCAGTTATCCAACATGTGAGTAGTCTGACACCCAGTAGAAAGACACCCAGTTGTCCAACATGAGAGTAGTCAGACACCCAGTACTCCGTCACCCAGTAGTCCGACACCCAGTAGTCCAACATGTGAGAAGTCAGACACCCAGTAGAAAGACACCCAGTTGTCCAATATGTGAGTAGTCCGACAGTCAGGAGTCAGACATGTGAGTAGTCAAACATGTGCGTAGTCCGACACTCAGTAGACCGTCACCCAGTAGTCCGACACCCAGTAGTCCAACATGTGAGTAGTCAGACACCAAGTAGAAAGACACCCAGTTGTCCAACATGTGAGTAGTCCAACACCCAGTAGTCCAACATGTGAGTAGTCCGACACTCAGGAGTCAGACATGTGAGTAGTCAGACACCCAAATAGTCCAACATGTGCGTAGTCCCACACTCAGGAGTCAGACATGTGAGAAGTCAGACACCCAGGAGTCCGTCACCCAGTAGTCCGACACCCAGTAGTCCAACATGTGAGTAGTCCGACACCCAGTAGTCCAACATGTGCATAGTCCGACACCCAGTAGAAAGACACCCAGTTGTCCAACATGTGAGTAGTCCGACACCCAGTAGTCCAACATGTGCGTAGTCCGACACCCAGTAGAAAGACACCCAGTTGTCCAACATGTGAGTAGTCCGACACCCAGTAGTCCAGCATGTGAGTAGTCCGACACTCAGGAGTCAGACATGTGAGTAGTCAGACACCCAATAGTCCAACATGTGCGTAGTCCGACACCCAGTAGAAAGACACCCAATAGTCCAACATGTGCGTAGTCCGACACCCAGTAGAAAGACACCCAGTTGTCCAATATGTGAGTAGTCCGACACCCAGTAGTCCAACATGTGCATAGTCCGACACCCAGTAGAAAGACACCCAGTTATCCAACATGTGCGTAGTCCGACACCCAGTAGTCCGTCACCCAGTAGTCCGACACCCAGTAGTCCAACATTTGAGTAGTCAGACACCAAGTAGAAAGACACCCAGTTGTCCAACATGTGAGTAGTCAGACACCCAGTAGTCCAACACGTGACTAGTCCGACACTCAGGAGTCAGACATGTGAGTAGTCAGACACCCAATAGTACAACATGTGCGTGGTCCGACACTCAGGAGTCAGACATGTGAGTAGTCAGACACCCAAATAGTCCAACATGTGCGTAGTCCGACACCCAGTAGTCCAACATGTGAGTCGTCAGACACCCAGTAGTCAGACAGCCAGTAATCAGACATGTCAATAATCAGACATGTCAATAATCAAATACCCAATAGACAAGAATGTCAATTGTCGGACACCCAGTAGTCAGACATGTCAATAGTAAGACATTCCAGCAGACAAACAAGTTTCTGCTTCTGAATTACTAGTGTTCATAGTCAGTTGTTGTTTATTAGCGAAAAGATGACACCGGCCAATGATACAGTTTTTTTACAGAGCGCATAGATGGAGTTGCAGTCTAATATAATACAGCATGGTGACAACCACAATAAGTTAACAATAATATTAAGTATAATA